CACATCCTCTTTTACTGATATACATACAAAAAAGAAACTAAGCATTTTGTTTCAGAAAACAAAAGAATTGTCTTCAGATATAATCAGACCAAAATGTCAATGTCATGAACCATTATAAGTTATTTCAATCATTTGTTTTGATTTGTATTAGTTGTCTTTGTATATTTCGTGAACACTATCTTATTTTATAGACAAGCAATAACCCGCCAAGCCATGGCGGTGGCCATGCGTCAAGCTCCCATCTACTCAAATTACTGGACAAAACAGCCATTCAAATAAAGCACTATATAAGAATACCAAGTAATGCTAACTTTGGGAATTTTCTTTTGCGCGTGTTCAACACAGCGTTCAGCCATACGTACGTACCTAGAGAATTATTATATGTGACAAACAAATCGATTGTCAATAAAACATTTTGTTTTTCATACCAGCAAAGTTTCAGGAGTGTGTCAGCAGAGGGTCAGCAGTGTGTCAGCAGAGGGTCAACAATGTGTCAGGAGTGTGTCAGCAGTGTGTTAACAGTGTGGCAGCAGTGTATCATCTGTCTATCAGCAGGGTATCAGCAGTGTGTCAGCAGAAAGTTCAGCAGTGTGTCAGCAGAGTATCAGCCAGTGGTTGGAAACTACTATTAAAGTACACTGGCAGTTGTGAGGTGTAAGAAATGAATACCATGAAGAAAAAAAAAAGAGTTTAAAGCAAAATAGTCGTGAGAACGGGGAGGTAACAAGAAGTCCTAATTATCTCCTCACTTTGTTAGCCGAAACATTTACATTTGTAAAACTGATGACATTAAATGACATGTTATTTATTTGAATATAACTGCCTTCTTTTTGATACATACAACCTCAGTACCATCTATTCTAAACAGAATACCCCAATAACATATATTCTATACCTAATACCCCAATACCATCTATTCTATACAGAGTACCCCAATACCGTATATTTTATACAGAATACCCAAAAGCACATATTATATTATTAAATACAGAATAACCTATACGATCTTTCGACAAAGAATACACAATGCCATTTATTTTATAAAGAATATCCTAAAAAGTTCATAAACTGAGAGTGAAATGTTGGGTTAGAATAATAGTTCGGGGCACTGTATCCCTGACTGGCCCATAAAGCTAGAGGGAGAATGGACTCTCCGGGTTCAGGGGCTTCTGTTGGCTCCGGAGTCTCCACAGGGGTAGCGGCGGTGGATGTCGGCGGAGACTCTGTCAGATTTAAGGAGGTCTGTTTCTTAAGGGCTAAGGACTCCAGGAGCAGGTGCAACTCGATGGAAGTCATGTTGAACAAACGGGCCACAGTAGCGTAGGCCTTGGTTACATTGTCACCAGCCTGGCAAGGAAAAGATAAACTTTACTCGAATTTTCTGGCAGGCGCGGGAAAAATCTGGCAATTTATTTGGTCAAATTAAAACATCGACATCGCCTTATGGTTGAGTCAATCATAAAAATAAACCAATGGATGAGTCAACTACCGCCTTGGACAAGTTGATGAGTCAAACATTGCCTTGGTCTAATGGATAAATGAACCGCTGCCTTGGACTAATTGATGAGTCAACCATTGCCTTGGTCTAATGGATAAATGAACTATTGCCTTTGACTAATTGATGAGTCAACCATTGCCTTGGTCTAATGGATAAATGAACCATTGCCTTGGATTAATTGATGAGTCAATTATTGCCTAGGACTAATGAATGAGTCAACTATCGCCTTTGACTAATTGATGAGTCAACTATTGCTTTTGACTAATTGATGAGTCAACTATTGCCTTTGACTAATTGATGAGTCAACTATTGCCTTTGACTAATTGATGAGTCAACTATCGCCTTTGACTAATTGATGAGCCAACTATTGCCTTTGACTAATTGATGAGTCAACTATTGCCTTTGACTAATTGATGAGTCAACTATTGCCTAGGACTAGTGAATGAGTCAACTATTGCTTATGACTAATGGATAAATGAACCATTGCCTTGGACTAATTGATGAGTCAATTATTGTCAAGGACTAATGAATGAGTCAACTATCGCCTTTGACTAATTGATGAGTCAACTATCGCCTTTGACTAATTGATGAGTCAACTATTGCCTTTGACTAATTGATGAGTCAACTATCGCCTTTGACTCATTGATGAGCCAACTATTGCCTTTGACTAATTGATGAGTCAACTATTGCCTAGGACTAATGAATGAGTCAACTATTGCCTATGACTAATGGATAAATGAACCATTGCCTTGGACTAATTGATGAGTCAATTATTGCCAAGGACTAATGAATGAGTCAACTATCGCCTTTGACTAATTGATGAGTCAACTATCGCCTTTGACTAATTGATGAGTCAACTATCGCCTTTGACTAATTGATGAGTCAACTATCGCCTTTGACTAATTGATGAGTCAACTATCGCCTTTGACTAATTGATGAGTCAATTATTGCCTAGGACTAATGAATGAGTCAACTATTGCCTTGGACTAATGTCCAGCTGTATGATGTCATGGAGTTCGAGGGTTCAGAATAATTCTGTTTCTCCAACCAAGTGTAACAGTAGAAGAACTTTTTAATTCAGAACAACCTCCTGCCCCCACCCACACAAAACAAAAAATACATTAAAAAATGGGTCTTTCCTATTGTTATTAAAAGAATAGGATTAAGAAGATAACTTTAAAAGAATATTTGTCCCCATATTTTCATTGAAGGAATCTTATTTAACATAAAAGCGTGGCTTTTTTATAACAATTTAGCACTGTTAAAAGACTGTATTAAGATACCAGGGACCTAAGACTGTATGAAACTACCAGGGACCTAAGACTGTATTAACCTACCAGGGACCTAAGACTGTATTAGCCTACCAGGGACCTAAGACTGTATTAACCTACCAGGGACCTAAGACTGTATTAACCTACCAGGGACCTAAGACTGTATTAAAATACTTATGACCTAAGTCTGTATTAACATACTAGCGACACAAGAATTGTCCCTTTAGTCTGTAGTCTGTCGACCAATCAAACATTTACTAAAATCCTATAACAGGAAGCAGATTTGTTGGTCCTTATAACGTCATGGTGCTGTGCATTGAAAACAGGTGATGCAATATTTCAAACTTGATAAGTGGAGTTTTAATTATCAATATGAATAGCAATGACACAATCAATAGAAGAAATAAATTTTATTGAAGAAAAAGTGTAAATAAAGGCTTATCTTTATAGATGCCAAGATATAGCAAATATGTGCTTTTCAAATATTTCCTCTAATTTTTCATAGCAAAGATTATTTTTGCCTATAAATAGAACTACGATAGTTAAGAAAGAGCAAGCGATATTTAAGAGCTCACTAGAATTGACATGACAGATGAATGCTCAATAGATGACGAAGTTACTGCTCCAGGAGTAGTTAGGGGATAGTCACTTCCTGTGTTGACAGATCCAAGTGTGTTGACAGATCCCAAGTTGTTGACAGATCCCAATGTATTGACAGTAGAATTCAAAACATCTGTCTGCTGCTTCTCTTTCTGTGAAGCAATTTCCATGGCCAATTTAGACAAGGAGTCGAGCAGATTAGATATTCTGGTCATGGTCGGCGACATTGTGGTCACTGATGGGTCAAATGGTTCAAGCAGCTCAAAAGCTGTTTCTTGAGCAGGCTGGGTAACATTTGAATCGACTCTTGATTGTACAGTTGAGGTGGTTGTTGACTGCAATGACGACAGATCCGAAAGTGAAGCTGAATTTGGCTGTTCAGATGGCACAGAAACATTAGAAGGCGACGTCGGTGATAAGGTCAGCCCAAAGTCAGTAGAAGGTGTCTGATCGTGATAGCCATTGACCTGGTCCAAACTTAAAGTTCCGTTGTTGTTGTTCAGCTCTGCCGATGTCCGGGAGGCGTTTCTGTCAGTTTTGGATGCTAGTAAAATGCTGACAACCTCGTCGACTTGCAGATTGTACATCCCAGCTATGGTTGTTGCCATCTGGATGAGCTCATCAGAGACGTTCCTGTCCGTGGTCTGGGTCAGTATCTGTGTTCCTGTATAGTCAGGAGACTGCACGTAGTCAGGACCAAGTTGGTTATTTGAATCATTAGCTGCTAACAGCTTACTTGGCTCTGTAACTGTTTGTATCATAATTGGCTCTGTAGCTTCTTGCAATAAACTCGGATCCAAAGCTAGCTGTTTAGTAATCTCAGGTGCTAGCTCCTTCGTTGACTCCGAGACTTGTACTGAATATTGATCTGTAACATTTTGCTGGCTAGGCAGTGAAGCAGCATTTACAGTTTGCTGGCTAGGCAGTGAAGTAGTAGATACAGTTTGCTGGCTAGGCAATGAAGCAGCATTTACAGTTTGCTGGCTAGGCAGTGAAGCAGCATTTACAGTTTGCTGGCTAGGCAGTGAAGCAGCATTTACAGTTTGTTGGCTAGGCAGTGAAGTAGTAGATACAGTTTGCTGGCTAGGCAATGAAGTAGTAGATACAGTTTGCTGGCTAGGCAATGAAGTAGCAGATATAGTTTGTTGGCTAGGCTGTGAATTAGCGAAAACAGTTTGTTGGCTAGGCAGTGAAGTAACAGATACAGTTTGTTGGCTAGGCAGTGAAGTAACAGATACAGTTTGTTGGCTAGGCAGTGAAGTAACATATACAGTTTGCTGGCTAGGCAGTGAAGTTTCAGATAAAGTTTGTTGGCTAGGCAGTGAAGTTTCAGATAAAGTTTGTTGGCTAGGCAGTGAAGTTTCAGATAAAGTTTGCTGGCTAGGCAATGTAGTAGCAGACACTATCCCTCCATTTTGATTCATTTCGCTTGTTTCATTTTGAAAAACGTTCCCCAAATCATTGATTGATCTTTCAGAGGCGTTTGTTGATGGAGTCAACTCCGTCAAAATTGTTTCAGATCCTGGAGAAGAAACTTCTCCAATGAAGCTATCATCCAATTCATTGTTCTTTGTTGCAGTTGAACTAGATATGACTTTATTTATGGATGCACCTTCTAACATCTTAAACATGGCATCAGCTTCATCCAGCGACACGCCATAGAAATGGGCCAGCGATTTGATCAAAGAATGTTTGGGATCTTGGACAAGAGAGGAAGCGGTGGACGAGGCTACCACAGCTGGTGGAGAGGAGCCTTCTGAAGAGGTGGTGTTGTTCCTAGGTTGGAAACCCTGTGTCGTCGGTTGCACCTCATTGTTGGCCTGTTGGTGAGAGAAAGTAAAATTGCTGTCCTTTAATAGTAGGGGGAATCTGTGCTTGTGGAGTTACTCTGCCAATGACATTTGTATGTCTAAATAGTTACTCTGCCAATGACATTTGTATGTCTAAATAGTTACTCTGCCAATGACATTTGTATGTCTAAATAGTTACTCTGCCAATGACATTTGTATGTCTAAATAGTTACTCTGCCAATGACATTTGTATGTCTAAATAGTTACTCTGCCAATGACATTTGTATGTCTAAATGAGCAACAGGAATAATCATTTATGATATTTACGTCATTAGATATCTCTGTGGCATTTTTGCATGTGATTAGTGTTATTTTTATATTTATAAAAGATTTCGAAACTACTATCTTATGAATCAAAAGACATCCTGTGTTAAATGGTAACTTATCATTTTGTTTCTAAAACTTCATGAAGAATACATTGATATTATTCCAACAATACATGATGATGAGCGCAGCAATCTTTTTCCAATACAAAATAATCAACACGGCAATCTTTTCCAAACAGAATATGGTCAATCCAGCAATCTTGTCCAAACAGAACATGGTCAATCCAGAAATCTAGTCCAAACAGAACATGGTCATTCCAGCAATCTGGTCCAAACAGAACATGGTCAATCCAGCAATCTTGTCAAAACAGAACAGGGTCAATCCAGCAATCTTGTTCAAACATTATATGGTTAACACAGCAATCATGTTCCAACACTACATTTTGAATCCATCAATCTTGTTCCAACAGAAACTGATTACTCCAGCAATAATATGTTAATAACAACAACATATGGAACTCCCTTGTACATACATTGGTTGTTTTGTTCATTCCAGATTTAGGCCATTTAAAAAAAGTTTTGTTATTTCATTCCTAAGATCTTAAAAACAAACATGAACTTATATTATAGCAGCATACATCAATCAGACAAGAGCATCGGTTAATCCATGTCGCTGATTCGAGATGTTGATCCATGTCACAGATTCGAGATGTTGATCCATGTCACAGATTCGAGATGCTGATCCATGTCACAAATTCGAAATGCTGATCCATGTCACAGATTCGAGATGCTGATCCATGTCACAGATTCGAGATGCTGATCCATGTCACAGATTCGAGATGCTGATCCATGTCACAGATTCGAGAAGTTGATCCATGTCACAGATTCGAGATGTTGATCCATGTCACAGATTCGAGATGTTGATCCATGTCACAGATTCGAGATGTTGATCCATGTCACAGATTCGAGATGTTGATCCATGTCACAGATTCGAGATGCTGATCCATGTCACAGATTCGAGATGCTGATCCATGTCACAGATTCGAGATGCTGATCCATGTCACAGATTCGAGATGCTGATCCATGTCACAGATTCGAGATGTTGATCCATGTCACAGATTCGAGATGTTGATCCATGTCACAGATTCGAGATGTTGATCCATGTCACAGATTCGAGATGTTGATCCATGTCACAGATTCGAGATGTTGATCCATGTCACAGATTCGAGTTGATCCATGTCACAGATTCGAGATGTTGATCCATGTCACAGATTCGAGATGTTGATCCATGTCACAGATTCGAGATGTTGATCCATGTCACAGATTCGAGATGTTGATCCATGTCACAGATTCGAGATGCTGATCCATGTCACAGATTCGAGATGCTGATCCATGTCACAGATTCGAGATGCTGATCCATGTCACAGATTCGAGATGCTGATCCATGTCACAGATTCGAGATGTTGATCCATGTCACAGATTCGAGATGTTGATCCATGTCACAGATTCGAGATGTTGATCCATGTCACAGATTCGAGATGTTGATCCATGTCACAGATTCGAGATGCTGATCCATGTCACAGATTCGAGATGCTGATCCATGTCACAGATTCGAGATGCTGATCCATGTCACAGATTCGAGATGCTGATCCATGTCACAGATTCGAGATGTTGATCCATGTCACAGATTCGAGATGTTGATCCATGTCACAGATTCGAGATGTTGATCCATGTCACAGATTCGAGATGTTGATCCATGTCACAGATTCGAGATGTTGATCCATGTCACAGATTCGATATATTGATCCATGTCACAGATTCGCGGTAAGTACAATAAACGGATTATCGTGATTTTTCGACATTTAATTCAACAGTGTGCCCCAACTTCTAAACTTCAACGCAAAAACTTGATTTGTATATTCAATGCAAATATAGTTTAAATCAACGTCTATAAAGGACATTTTCGAATGACATAGCATATGTGATCATAAATGACAACAATAGGTCATTAGTGCTCATGTATGTTCGTCACACAAGTACAAGGTGGTTATGTTCATCTTTTGTGGTAGGACTTTATTTCCATCATACATTGTTAGGGTCATTATGTTCGTCATAGAGGTTAGAGGTGATTATGTTCGTCATAGAAGTTAGAGGTGATTATGTTCGTCATAGAAGTTAGAGGTGATTATGTTCGTCATAGAAGTTAGAGGTGATTATGTTCGTCATAGAAGTTAGAGGTGATTATGTTCGTCATAGAAGCTAGGGATGATTATTTTTGTGATACCAATAGAAATATCCGGAACCTGGTAACATTTACGGATGTAGAGAATATCTTATTAATTATCTAAGCATAAACTTTTTACCAATATTTTCATAAACTTCATTCCCTATATTTTCATAAGCTTCATTCCCTAGATTTTCATAAGCTTCATTCCCAATGTTTTCATAAAGTTCATCCCAAATAATTTCAATAAATTTATTCCTTATAATTTCTACCAACTTCATTTCCAGTACTTCCCCTATTTTTATTCACTAAATAATGTTCTTCAACTCGAAAATTATGCATACATTTTGTAAATAACTATAGACAATTCACGGAATATAATTTGTTAACCTTTATTTGTTTTAAGTTACATTTTTATTCGCATTTGTTAGTTGATAATGGTCAAGGTTCAACGAGTTAATGAGACATCTTATCGCGCAATAAATAAAGACAAATCTAATGTAAGGGGCTTAACACTATTTGATAAGGACGAATCTAATGATGGAACGCGGAGGACCACTGTGACAGAGACATGCCTTAAGTTGCGGCCCCTGCAGAAAGCGATTTGATTTGATTGTAATTATTTTATTATACCAAAGTTATAATACACAAAGTTACTATACAAAAAAAATGGTTCTACTTACCATTCCAGGCAGGGCTTCAAACAAATGAGGCATTCCAGGTGGGGGTGGTGGTGGTGTGGGTACCGCCTCTGTGGCTTCAGTGACAGGAACTGCTGTCGTTGTTGTTTCCATAGCGGTTGTGGTGTTGTCTGTTGTGCTGTTGTATGTGTCAAGAGCCAGAGAAAAATTCATCGATGTCAAATTAAAATCTTGACCATTAACTGCTGTATCATTCAAAGTGGCATTGAGTGCTGTATCATTCAAAGTGGCATTACTTTGATTTGTCGTCATGTCAGTTGTCGAAGCTGTTGCCTGGCTGTTAAGGTCAAGGGTCATGTTACTGAGCACTGTTCTGGTTCCGTTGAGTAGAGACGAGGAGTTCTTCGTCAGTTCTTTGATCTCCCCTAGGAGAGCCTGGGCTGCCCTGATAAGTGGGTCATCTTGGCGCAAGGCCCCAGACGCAGTTTGGGCCAAAAGAGTCTCAATCACATTTTGAGCCAAGCTGGCAAGTTGATTGTTGGCATTCTGGGATAAAAATAAACAGACAAAATTACAGTGGACCTATTGCAAAGTTCAGAGAAATGAAATAAACAAGCCAAATGACAGTGGACCTATGGTGTTGTTCAGAGCATTCATATAAACAAGCCAAATGTCTGTGGATCTATGGTGTAGTTCAGAGTAGCCACGTCTTAAATACTGTAAACTACCTTGTATAAGTATTATTATAATATGTTTTCATAACTTCTCCGCTAATTTAAGAGAGCAGGAGCATAGTATTCTCAATGAAAGAGTGGATCAATAAAAAGTGGGTTGGAGATGCGGGGTTTGGGGTGAGCGGATGGTGGTGCTGGGTGGGGGTGGACCGTTGGGGTGGGTTTGGGGGTTGGTGGATGGAACATGATACAGAAAGTACTCAATTTGTCTTCATTCATTAAATATCATGTCTTCATGATAAACAACAAGATTAATAAAAAAAATAAACCAGGCTTTAACTAACACCATACAAGAACCTATAAAAACAAAACAACTTAAAAAAATTAAAAAGTGTGAAACCTATACTGAAATTAAAAATAGTTTACTTTTCATAATGGAATCAGTTACCATTATTGAAGCAGTTACCATTATTGAAGAAGTTACCATAATTGAATCATTTACCATGATTGAAGCAGTTGCCATAATTGAAACAGTTACCATGATTGAAGCAGTTGACATGATTGAATCTGTTACCACGATTGAAGCAGTTACCATGATTTTACCAGTTACCTTGACTGAAGTTTCGTTCACATAAGAAATGTGTTATTACCCTCCAATCTTCATCCTAATGTCGAAGATTTTAAAAAAGAACATACATATTTTTAACAGAGCTATAACAAAGGTATAACGTGATAAGCGCTACTAGAAATATTTACCATGATGACAGGGTCAACGCCAGCAGCTACGGTAGAGTTTGTTGTTATGATTTGAGTGGTGGCCTCAACATCTGTCAATTCAATTGTGTTTGTTCATTTTCGTACTCCAAAATAAATTATTCAGTCTTACGAAAACTTAATTAAATAATTTCATTTTAATTATTAATTTTTTTCCAAAGTCTATAACATTTAAGAGAGAAAAAAAATCTACCCTAACCCTAACTCTAACCCTAACCCTAACCCTAACCCTAACCCTACCCTAACTCTAACCCTAACCCTAACCCTAACCCTAACCAACACCCCTAAAAATACAATAAACAACATAATAATAATAAAATAAAAAGAAGAGTGAAAAAAAATACTAGACCTAATTGCCTAATACATTTTTGATTTTCGACATAAACATTCCGTGAAAATTATAAATAGCGGGGGAAAGCCAACCATTTAATCGATAATTGTTAAAATTGTCAATGCTTTCTGTTGCAATACAAATAAGATTTACACTTATTAACACGCCACAGTTCTAAAATACTGAACTTCTAGATGGACATGAAATATTGAAATACAGCAAAAATTATGTTTGTCAAAGAAGAGCTTAACCACTTACTCCGAGATGTTGATGCCTCTGGGATAGTTCCTGATCCGATATTTTCATGTACCACCTGTGGTGTCGCGTTGACCACACTGATTTGTGGTTTTGTCGAAGACGGTCCGACAGTGGTCACATCGACAGCTACCAGCTGCACCTGGGCTGTAGAGGCCACGATTGGGCTACCTCCCAGGAGTCTGACCAGCTCATTGGCCAGTTGGGAGTCAAACCCTGTGGAGCTTTGTGTTGTCTTTGATTGGAGGATTCGACTCATAAGCATGTCTACGGCCATCTGTTTGATGAGTTCATTGATCTTTGCTTCATGTGAGGTAACATTGTCTGGAACAATGATGGAAATGGCAATAACATGACATTTGATGTGGTAACATTGGCTGGAACAATGATGGAAAGGACAATAACATAATATTTGATGTGGTAACATTGGCTGGAGCAAAGATGGAGATGGTCATAACATGACATTTGAAGTGGTAATATTGGAAAGAATAATGATATAAATGACAATAACATGACATTTGATGACATGTGATATTTAATGGCAAAAGAGTTATGTCTACTGAGGGTTGAACCATTTTAATGCACTCTTTATTTGTGCAAGATGTCCATTAATGGGTGGTACAATTTAGTCTGGGATCGCGCTGTGTTCAAGTGTAATGTAATGTTTTGGTCTGGGATCGCGCTGTGTTCAAGTGTAATGTAATGTTTTGGTCTGGGATCTCTCTCTGTTCAAGTGTAATGTAATGTTCTAGTGTAGGATCACGTTGTGTTCAAGTGTAATGTAATGTTTTGGTCTGGGATCTCTCTGTGTTCAAACGTAATGTAATGTTGTACAAATGGTTTAGGAGTCGTTCATCAAGTACGTCCGCAAAGTTGGTGTGTTTGTTTGGGGGGGGGATGGGAAGAGAGAGTGGCTTGTTCACATGCGGACCAATTGCGTAAAATGGTTGAGTTATGGTCAATGATCTTGTGACGTCAGCATGCAAACAGTTTTTGTAATATGTGGCTTGGGTTCACTGCGTGCGTTCTAGGAATGTTTAAAAACTGTTAAATTGCTGATGTCATGTTTTGTTGATATATTTGGGAAAGCTGATGACATCTTTTGTTGATATATTTGGGAAAGCTGATGTCATCTTTTGTTGATATATTTGGGAAAGCTGATGTCATCTTTTGTTGATATATTTGGGAAAGCTGATGACATCTTTTGTTGATATATTTGGGAAAGCTGATGTCATCTTTTGTTGATATATTTGGGAAAGCTGATGTCATCTTTCGTTGATATATTTGGGAAAGCTGATGTCATCTTTTGTTGATAAATTTTATATAGCGGATGTTGTCTGTTGATATATTTGGGCAAGCTGTTGTAGTCTGTTATTGATATATTTGGGAAAGTTGATGTTGTCTGTGGTTGATATATTTGGGAAAGTGGATGTAGTTATGGTTGATATATTTGGTATAGTGGATAGTGTCTGTCGTTCATATAGTTGGTAAAGCTGATTCAGTCTGTTGTGGAGAAAGTTGGGAAAACGGAGGTCTTCTCTGGTTAATATATTTAAAAAAAAAAAAATTATAATCTTAAAGCAGCAAGACGCTAGAAAAAAATTCACGAGGGAGATTTTGGTTTCTTTTTATCACCAAATGTAAATAATGCGAGTCTAGGCTTTAAAAATTCTCTTCGTCGGTCTTGTTTACATGTTAACTTGTTGAATAAATTGGAAAAAAAAAACATATTACTATTCATGGACAGACCTGATGTAGCGTGTTCAGTTACAGACGTAACGGGGAAAATAACATCAGAAGTCAACTCTCCATTACTCGGACCACTGTTCACGGGTGTTACTGTAGTAGAGGTGCCAGCCACGGTTGGCTGGTTGTTAAAGCTAGGTTGTGCTGGATGGTTGGTTGTTCCAGACACAGTTGTGGGGCTGCTTACACCATAAGTCAAACTATGGTCCATGGTAGGCAGTGGAGTCGATGGGGTGTCTGTGGTAGCCTGTTTACAATTTTAAAAAAAGAAAGTCTAACTCTAATTTAAATACAATTGGCTGGCATTTGTCTTACAACTCTTTAATATTTCTACCAATGCCCAGGGCATTTCAAAAGCACGTGGTAGTTTAGCAGACAAAGGAAAAAAAAAACTGTTTATAGAGTTAAGTGTAAACCTTCAAATACATAATTTTGTAATGATCTGTTTGTCTACACCTTAAAATACATACTGTGTTATAATATCTCTTTTGCGCACACCATAACACATGTAATTTTTTGATGATCTTTCTTTATACAAATAAATGATCTCTCGTGTACACCTTAACGTGTGACTTTTTAACAGAATATTTTGAAAAATAAAAAAGACTGAACAAATCCATTAATAAATACTTGGCTAAATTAAACCTAAGGGCTCCTTCCCAAATGAAAAGTAACTATGTTCGATATGTTGAACCCACAACAATGGCACTTTAGCGTCAGTTCACATGATCAAATTAGCCTTGAACTTTGCTGCAAATGTTTGTATGAACGCAATATTTGGTGCGTGGTTTCTATTTTTTTGTTGTTGTTGAAAAAAGTGGGATTTTGATCAAATAGTAATTTGAAAGTTGTGGCAAGGCTTCATACAAACATCGCATCAAATGCATGATGGAAAATTTGTGAACTGACGCTTAGAGGGAAATCTTATAACATCAAATCTGTTAGAAATAAATCATAAATATAGCTAAATATAACACATCTAATGCATACTCAAGGCAAGAGTGTGTGTGTGTGGGTAAGGGGGGGGGGGTCACACTCACTGCATTTTTCATTCCAACTAGGATCGTCACATTAATTTTATTTGTTCTGCCAATAACAGTATCGCGTCCTGGATCTCCCGCGCCAGTCACTGTGTCGTGTCCTGGCTCTATTGCACCAGTCACTGGCTCTAATGCAGGCATCTGTAATTAGAGAATTTCTTCATTCTGTAAGTATTACAACCTATTATCTATCATAGTAAGATAAACTGATGTATTCTGTTTGTTTAATAAATTTGTCGATATTTGCATGCCAATGTGTAATGCTAAGTATCTGTAAGTTTTATCCCACTTAGACCATCGGCTGCGCTGGGGTGAGAGTGAAATGTGACATGGTTGGGATGAGAGGAAAAACACAAAAAGTCGGATGGTTGGAATGAGAGAAAAATGTCGCTTGGTTGGGATGAGAGGAAAATGTCGCATGGTAGGGATGAGAGGGAAATGTCGCTTGGTTTGGATCAGAAGGAAATGTCGCACGATTTGAATGAGAGGGAAATGTCACATGGTTGGGATGAAAGAGGAATTGTCGCATGGTTGTGATGAGAGGGAAATGTCGCATGGTTTGAATGAGAGGAAAATGTCGCATGGTTGGGATGAGAGAGGAATTGTCGCATGGTTGGGATAAGAAGGAAGTGTCGCATGGTTGTGATGTGCGGAAAATTTCGCATGGCTGGGATGAGAGCGAAATGTTGCATTGTTGGGATGAGAGGGAAATGTTGCATGGTTAGGATGAGAGAGGTATTGTCGCATGGTTGGAATGACAGGGAAATGTCACAAGAGTTGGGATGAGAGAGGAATTGTCGCATGGTTTGGATCAGAGGGAAATGTCGCATTGTTGTGATGAGAGGAAAATGTCACATGGTTGTCATAAGAGGGAATGTCGCATGGCTTGGATCGGATGGAAATGTCGCATGGATGGATGAGGGGAAATATCGCATGGTTATGATGAGAGGAAAATGTCGCATGGTTTGGATCAGATAGAAATTTCGCAAGTTTGGGATGAGAGGGAAATATCGCATGACTGGGATAAGTCTGAAATGTGGCTAGGTTGTGATGAGAGGGAAATGTCGCATGGTTGTGATGAGAGGGAAATGTCGCATGGTTATGATGAGAGGAAAATGTTGCAGGGTTGTAATGAGAGGGAATGTCGCACGGCTTGGATCTGATGGAAATGACACATGGTGGGGAATGGAGGGAAATATCGCAAGGCTGGGATAAGTCCGAAATGTCACGTGGTTGGGATGAGAGAGAAATGACGCATTTTTGTGATGAGAGGGAAATGTCGCATTCCTGGGATGAGAGGGAAATGTCGCATTTTTAGGATGAGAGGAAAATGTCACATTGTTGGAATAAGAGAAAAATGTCCCATGGTTGGGATAATAGGGAAATTTTGCATTTGGAAATAGTGTCATAGGGATTGGTGGGTTTTATGAGTGGAAGAAAGTAGTGAGGCAGGTCAAAGCCCTATATGAGCTTTAGTGTAATATTGGGGGGGGGGTTGTCTGAGGGTAAGTTAGTGTTGAGGCAAGCCAAAGCCCTATTTGAGCTATAGTGCCATAGTGAGTGGGGTGTCTGAGTGGAAGGAAGTGGTGAGGCAGGCCAAAGCTGTATATCAGCTTTACTGCGACAGGAATGAATTGGATATGTCTAAGATTTATAGGTCTCTAATTATTCCCAAAAAAAATTTGAAATATTGTTTTTCAATTTTAAATATAGGTTTACTCTTTAATCAGGAGCTAATGTAGCATAGTCTGGGAAAACCTGTTTATATTTTGTTTACCTGTGTGCTTGGTAGCGGCTGCTGTGCTGTTTGATTGACAGGTGTTTGAGTCATCTGTCCGCCTAGGTAGGAAAATATCTCATCTTTGAAATATGACTTAAGTACAAAAACTATTTTTTTTTTAATGCGAGTATGAAAATACAGTATCCATTAGTACCACTCTATAAATCAAATGTTAGAAGATATTCAAAGAAATCAATAGTGGAAGATGGTCAATGAAGTCTAGTCGAAGATGGTCAATGAAGTCTAGTGGAAGATGGTCAATGAAGTCTAGTGGAAGATGGTCAATGAAGTCAAGTGGAAGATGGTCAATGAAGTCTAGTGGAAGATGGTCAATGAAGTCAGTAGTGGAAGATGGTCAATGAAGTCAATAGTGGAAGATGGTCAATGAAGTCAATAGTGGAAGATGGTCAATGAAGTCAATAGTGGAAGATGGTCAATGAAGTCTAGTGGAAGATGGTCAATGAAGTCAATAGTGGAAGATGGTCAATGAAGTCTAGTGGAAGATGGTCAATGAAGTCTAGTGGATGATGGTCAATGAAGTCTAGTGGAAGATGGCCAATGAAGTCTAGTGGAAGATGGTCAATGAAGTCTAGTGGAAGATGGTCAATGAAGTCAATAGTGGAAGATGGTCAATGCAGTCTAGTGGAAGATGGTCAATGAAGTCAATAGTGGAAGATGGTCAATGAAGTCAATAGTGGAAGATGGTCAATGAAGTCTAGTGGAAGATGGTCAATGTAGTCTAGTGGAAGATGGTCAATGAAGTCAATAGTGGAAGATGGTCAATGAAGTCAATAGTGGAAGATGGTCAATGAAGTCAATAGTGGAAGAGGGTCAATGAAGTCAATAGTGGAAGATGGTCAATGAAGTGTAGTGGAAGATGGTCAATGAAGTCAATAGTGGAAGATGGTCAAGGAAGTCAATAGTGGAAGATGGTCAATGAAGTCAATAGTGGAAGATGGTCAATGTAGTCTAGTGGAAGATGGTCAATGAAGTCAATAGTGGAAGATGGTCAATGAAGTCAATAGTGGAAGATGGTCAATGAAGTCAATAGTGGAAGATGGTCAATGAAGTCAAATGGAAGATGGTCAAAGAAGTCAATAGTGGAAGATGGTCAATGAAGTCTAGTGGAAGATGCTCAATGAAGTCAATAGTGGAAGATGGTCAATGAAGTCAATAGTGGAAGATGGTCAATGAAGTCAATAGTGGAAGATGGTCAATGAAGTCAATAGTGGAAGACGGTCAATGAAGTGAATAGTGGAAGATGGTCAATGAAGTGAATAGTGGAAGATGGTCAATGAAGTCAATAGTGGAAGATGGTCAATGAAGTCAATAGTGGAAGATGGTCAATGAAGTCAATAGTGGAAGATGGTCAATGAAGTAAATAGTGGAAGATGGTCAATGAAGTCAATAGTGGAAGATGGTCAATGAAGTCAATAGTGGAAGATGGTCAATGAAGTCAATAGTGGAAGACGGTCAATGAAGTCAATAGTGGAAGATGGTCAATGAAGTCAATAGTGGAAGATGGTCAATGAAGTCTAGTGGAAGATGTTCAATGAAGTCAATAGTGGAAGATGGTCAATAAAGTCAATAGTGGAAGATGGTCAATGAAGTCAATAGTGGAAGATGGTCAATGAAGTCAATAGTGGAATATGGTCAATGAAGTCAATAGTGGAAGATGGTCAATGAAGTCAATAATGGAAGATGGTCAATGAAGTCAATAGTGGAAGATGGTCAATGAAGTCAATAGTGGAAGATGGTCAATGAAGTCAATAGTGGAATATGGTCAATGAAGTCAATAGTGGAAGATGGTCAATGAAGTCAATAGTGGAAGATTGTCAATGAAGTCAATAGTGGAAGATTGTCAATGAAGTCAATAGTGGAAGATGGTCAATGAAGTCTAGTGGAAGATGGTCAATGAAGTCAATAGTGGAAGATGGTCAATGAAGTCAATAGTGGAAGATGGTCAATGAAGTCAATAGTGGAAGATGGTCAATGAAGTCAAGTGGAAGATGGTCAAAGAAGTCAATAGTGGAAGATGGTCAATGAAGTCTAGTGGAAGATGGTCAATGAAGTCAATAGTGGAAGATGGTCAATGAAGTCAATAGTGGAAGATGGTCAAGGAAGTCAATAGTGGAAGATGGTCAATGAAGTCAAGTGGAAGATGGTCAATGAAGTCAATAGTGGAAGATGGTCAAGGAAGTCAATAGTGGAAGATGGTCAATAAAGTCAATAGTGGAAGGTGGTCAATGTAGTCTAGTGGAAGATGGTCAATGAAGTCAATAGTGGAAGATGGTCAATGAAGTCAATAGTGGAAGATGGTCAATGAAGTCAATAGTGGAAGATGGTCAATGTGGAAGATGGTCAATGAAGTCAATAGTGGAAGATGGTCAATGAAGTCTAGTGGAAGATGGTCAAAGAAGTCAATAGTGGAAGATGGTCAATGAAGTCTAGTGGAAGATGGTCAATGAAGTCAATAGTGGAAGATGGTCAAGGAAGTCAATAGTGGAAGATGGTCAATGAAGTCAATAGTGGAAGATGGTCAATGAAGTCAATAGTGGAAGATGGTCAAAGAAGTCAATAGTGGAAGATGGTCAATGAAGTCAATAGTGGAAGATGGTCAATGAAGTCAATAGTGGAAGATGGTCAAGGAAGTCAATAGTGGAAGATGGTCAATGAAGTCTAGTGGAAGATGGTCAATGAAGTCAATAGTGGAAGAAGGTCAAGGAAGTCAATAGTGGAAGATGGTCAATGAAGTCAATAGTGGAAGATGGTCAATGAAGTCAATAGTGGAAGATGGTCAAAGAAGTCAATAGTGGAAGATGGTCAATGAAGTCTAGTGGAAGATGGTCAATGAAGTCAATAGTGAAAGATGGTCAAGGAAGTCAATAGTGGAAGATGGTCAATGAAGTCAAGTGGAAGATTGTCAATGAAGTCAATAGTGGAAGATGGTCAATTAAGTCAATAGTGGAAGATGGTCAATGAAGTCATTAGTGGAAGATGGTCAATGAAGTCAATAGTGGAAGATGGTCAATGAAGTCAAGTGGAAGATGGTCAATGAAGTCAATTTTACAAACTAAAATAACATTTTTTTTTTATTTTACTTTTAAATTTATTTTTTAAAACAATTTTTTAAACTTTAATATGAGAACTGCTCCAGGCAGACCGCCCTAGTCAGCGACCTTAACTACGCCTTTATTATTAAATATTCAAGAACCGAAGTGCACATTCCTCGATAGCTACTTGACTGAAGTACACATTCCACAAATGCTACTAGAACGGAAGTACCAATTTTCCAAAGTATACTAGACGCAAGTACACATTCCCCAGTGGCTACAAAAAGTAAGTGCACATTCCCCAATGGCTACTAGACCGAAGTGCCCACTTTCCATTGGCAACTAGCCGTAAGTGCACATTCCCCAATGGCCACTAGACGGAAGTGCACATTCCCCAATGGCTACTCGACGGAAGTGCACATTCCCAAATGACTACTAGATGGAAGTGCACATTCTCAAATGACTACTAGTCGGAAGTGCACATTCCCCAGTGGCAACTAGAGCAGAATGAAACATAACAAGTTAATTCAAGCAGACTAAAGGACCTCAGTATTTACCTACAGAACATTATTTACTCTTACTTAAAGCATTTTTATTTGCTTCCATTTCAGCCACCAAATTGAGCAGGTCTATAGGTTTGAACCCCAGGAGTTCAGCAAGTTGATAGATTCTCTCTTTTTTAGCCAGACCAGATTCTGAAATGACAGAATCATCTATCAGAAAATCAAAATTTTTAGCGAAAAAAAAAGATAGATTTGAATAGAAATTTAAATGAATTAGATTAAACTTTGAGTTGTCATGCATATTAAACCAAGCAAATAGTTGACTCAATGAACAATAATCTACTTCATAAACAGCATTATACTCCATAAACAATAATCTACTTCACAATCAACAATCTTCTTTATGACCAACAATCTACTTCAGCTGCTCTATAAATAGGCATAGCCAACACTTTGGATTCGGCTATTCTATTAATAGGTTTAGCCAACGCTATACATTCGGCTGTTCTATCAATTGGTATAGCCAACACTATGGATTAGGATGTTCTATCAATGGATATTGAAATCAATATGGATGAGGCTGTTGTATCAATGGGTATGTCAACACCATGGATTCGGCTATTCTCTGAATGGGTGGAGCCAACGCTGTGGATTCGGCTATTCTATCAATGGGTAGAGCCAACACAATGAATTCGGCGGTTCTATCAATGAACTGAGCCAACACTATAAATTCACCTGAAACAGCCGAGTGGGTCTTACCGGCAACTGGAGGACCAACAACTGTCTGATTGGTTGGTTTGATGAACTCGAGTACTGGGTCAGAGGTCATCAAGATTGGGACATCTGTGGTAGCTAAGGGCAGACCTGCTAGGATAACATTAGGATGGGTCACTGAAACAAGACTGGCCAGCACACTGTCAAGGAGAGGGGCGGATGTTGAACTTAACGATGTTGGTTGTCTGCCAGATGTTGATACTTCTGAAATGGATTGGGAAAATAGATCAAAATTCAAACTTGTTCAAGATTAAAAATGATTAATTTATAACGATTGCAGCCAGTAATAATATAAACATTGACATAGACATTGAAATAGACATTGAAATACACATTGACATAGACATGAACATTGACATAGACATATACATTGACATATATATTGACATAGACATTGATATTTGCATAGACTTAGACACTGAGATAGACATGGACATACATAATGACATATGAACTGACATTGTTAAATTAAACGAGCAATGGAACAGTCTATAGTTTGCCCCATTGAAACAACAAAAACCGCAACATTACAAAAACAACAAATTAGCCAAACCCATTCAATGTCTTTCATCCCTTGCAACTATAAACAACACAGGCCAATATACATCTAGGCTCTAGGAGATAATAGCTAGCTGGAAAGATGGTAGACAACATCACCCCAGCAGATGTTTGCGAAATGAATGTGTTTTCAAATCGGTTTTGAAAGACTCCGGTGTCTGACTGTGTCTGAGAGCGACAGGTAAGGGGTCCCAATTCGTTAGGCCAGCAACTGCGAAATTGCGCCTTCCGTAAGTCTCCAGGCGAACACGTGGTATCGAGAGTTTGCCACTATCGGATGAGCAGTGCTGTCTAGTGGGTACATAAGTCGTCATGAGTGCTTTGAGATATGAAGGGGCTGAGTCATGCAAGCAGCTGTAGTACAGAGTTGCAATTTTGTACTCTATGCGAGCACGGACCGGCAAGCAATGCAGCTATCTCTCTCAGAATTGTTTTAGCTTGGTTAAATTTGCGTTTACGAAGAACAATGCGAGCTGCATTATTCTGTGCTTTTTTGCATTTTATCCAGGAGCGTAGATTTTGACATAGACATTGGCAAAAATATGTGGCAAAAACATAGATTTTATATGTAACGACGACATAGATTTTATGTGGAAAGAACATAGATTTTATATGTATCAATAATTTAATCTGATAAGAGTATAGATTTTATGTGTAACAAGAACATTTTTTTTGGCAAGTACATAGATTTTGATGTGGCAGAACATAGATTTTCATTGTCGCAAAAAAAAAAAAAAAAATTTTAAATGTGACCAAAGTTTACATTTTCTAGCTTAAAAGATTGAACTGAAACAATCGGATGTTTATGGGGCAACAGACTTAGCAGTAATCAATAAGAATGACGAGATAGGGGGAAACCCTGAGAGAATACATAGGAGTAGATGTTATTATGGTACTACCTTCAGTTTTCGCGTTTCTCTGCATTTGTTGGGTACTAATGACAATTGGTACGGTCCCTTCGGTACTAATGCTCCGTGGTCCTGTCTTTTGTGTACTAATGGTAGGTGGTCCTGCCTCTTGGGTACTAATGACAGGTGGTCCTATCTTTTGTGCACTAATGGCAGGTGGTCCTGTCTCTTGGGTACTTATGACAGATGGTCCTGTCCTACTAGTTGTTGTCGCTTGAAGCTGTTGCCGCTGTTCAATCTGTTTTTGCTGTTCTTGAAGAATTTGATGCTGCTCTAGAATCCTTTTCTCTAACAATTTCTGTTGTCTGTCTTTCTCTTCTTGCAGCCTCTGAAGTTTCAGTTGATCGTCCCATTTTTTCTGTTTGAAGAATCGGTTTGTTTAAAAGTCGGTTTGTGTTTCAAGTTGGTTTGTTTAGACAGTCGGTTTGTTTAAAAAGTCGGTTTGTTTAAAAAGTTGGTTTGTGTAACAAGTTGGTTTGTCTAAAAGTCGGTTTGTTTAAAAAGTCGGTTTGTTTAAAAAGTTGGTTTGTGTAACAAGTTGTTTTGTCTAAAAGTCGGTTTGTTTAAAAAGTCGGTTAGCTTAAAAGTCAGTTTGTTTTAAAAGTCGTTTAAAAAGTTATTTTGTTTCAAAAGTCCATCGGTTCTAAAAACGGATATATTAAACCAACCACCTGTATCTAAAGACTAGCTTTTCAATATAAGCAAAGTTACGGATAGGAACAGGACATCAGAGAATTATCCGAATTACTAAAGTTAAATGTCTTTTTAAATTTAGATCTAAATGAAATAGCCAACAACAGTCTCTTTATTTCCTTCGATAGTATTACAAGACTATAGGCATCAACAGTCTCTTAAACAACATTCAATAACAAAAGATTTTCGCAAAAATCTTTTACAAGATGAAATATGGAAGAATGGGTATGTATATAAAAATGTATACATGTAACGCATTACTTTATAAAAATTCCAATGATCCCCCCCCCCCCCCCAAACCATTCTCCCCAACATTTTTCCCCCCCCCCACCCGCTGTTACACAGCATAATAAGTTGACAAATCATGGGAGAAAAACAAAAGAAAGTTTTACGCACCAAACACACTTGCGGATTTTTTAACAAAAGAATCTCATTTAGTGCATTTAGTGCATTTAGCGGGATTTTTATTTCGAAAAATCAGTGTCATCCCATTTCCTTCATCTTTCCCTGGAAAAACAGGCAAAACTAATTTTTTTGGAGGTTGGAATTGGGGGCTGAATCTTAAAATTTGATTGTCGCTTTGTCACCAGCAACGAGTAAATGTGCCAAGTTTCAGCTCGAACGGGAAGTGGTTCAATTAGCCGTCCGAAGATTATGGCAGCAAGTCACGAATAAAAGCGAAGTAAATGTAAAAGATTTTTAAAAAATATCATTTTGAACTCAGTCTCCTTTAAGGATTAGTAAAATAACTTTGGTAGCTTAAACACTAGGCTCATTACAACCCTAAAAGCAAATTGTATGTATTAGAAACAAATAAATGGTGTCTGTTGAGTGTCACACAAGACAGACCTAAGCTAGTTTATATTGTTAACATTTTCAGGAACTGTGATTTGATGGACCGGGTTAAGGTTAGGGTTAGGGTTAGCATGGGTCCGGGAATATTGTTGGTTGACACACCTCAAATGTGAACCCTAGCCCTAACCTTAACCCTAACCCTAACCTTGTTGGGGAATTTTGTTGGTTGAAACACCTCAAATGTGAACCCTAATCCTAACCCTAACCCTAACCTTTTTGGGGAATGTTTTTGGTTGACACAAATCAAATGTGAACCCTAACACTAACCTTAACCCTAAACTTAACCTTGTTGGTGAATGTTGTTGGTTAACACACCTCAAATGTCAAACCTAACCCTAACCTTAACCCGGTCTATCAAATCACAGTTTTTGATTGACACAACATTACCTGAATGAGTTTTTGATGTAACAACTCTTCTTCTTTTTCTCTCTGTATCAATCGCTCCCGCTCCTCTTGTTGTCTCCTCTGCTCCTCTTGTTGTCTCCTCTGTTCCTCCTGTTGTCTCCTCTGCTCCTCCTGTTGTCTCCTCTGTTCCTCCTGTTGTCTGTTTCCTCTCATGGGATATTTAGCCTCAGGTTGCGGAAAACTTACATAAACAGGTATGTTGGAAAAAGTTAACAAAGAATTTACTAATTCATATATGTTTCTGAATCTATGAATTATTTAATAGAAAACATATATAAAGAATTTACAACAACAAAAAAAAGAAAGTACTGTACAATATTTAGTTGCCTAGTTTTTGTTTTGTAACAATGTTCCATTAACTTTTAACTAGGAAAATAATTTTTAAACACTTCAACATATATTTATTGGTTTGCTTAGGCAGTCAGTAATAGACCGGACTTGTATGTTGATTATGATGTGTATTTTATCCCAGACCTGTCATCTGACCCATGGATGATGTTGACCCATGAATCATGTTGACCCATGGATGATGCTGAACCATTCATGATGCTGACCCATGGATGATGCTGACCCATGGATATGCTGACCCATGGATGATGCTGACCCATTCATGATTCAATAATGGAAGCAGAAAACCATCAGTAAAAAGAAGGGAATATAGTTAAAGAAACCAAGACATCGTTTTGAATACGCTACAGGCGACAGCTGAAAGCCAAACCTACCGATACAGGAGACAGCTAAAAGCTAAACCTACCGATACAGGAGACAGCTAAAAGCTAAACCTACCGATACAGGAGACAGCTAAAAGCTAAACCTACCATTACAAGAGACAGCTAAAAGCTAAAACTATCGATACAGGAGACAGCTAAAAGCTAAACATATCGATACAGGAGACAGCTAGAAGCTAAACCTACCGGCGTTTAAACCTTTCTCATCTTTCTCATCTTTTTTCAAAATGTTACAGCTACCATGAATTTAATCTATCTGATCTCAAATGATTGTTTTTACAATGTCGACAGCTAAAAGCTAAACCTACCGTGAATTAAACCCGTCTGATCTCAACTGATTGTTTTCATTGCCGTTCCTGTTGGAATCTGAAAATATATTTTAATTTTCGTTTAATAGCTTTAAAAGAAAAGGTATTATTTGTTAAAATTATTTTTATACCATAGCTCAAATAATTAACCTTTACTAGGAATGTTTCATGCATAAATCCTAAATAAGTATTTTTGTAGGCTGCACAATTAATCTCCTCACCAATATACACACCCATTGAACAAATCCTATTTCACCCACCTCCTCCCCCCCCCCTTTTTTTTTTCAAAAGAGAGGGGGAAAGATTTTTGTAGTTTGGGGTTAGGGCGGGGGGGGCTGAGAAATTGAAATTACTTTTAGTCACCGGCAACGGGTCTATATGCCAAGTTTCAGCATGATAGGATGACGGAAAGGGGGTCATTTATTTCACCCACCTCCCCCCCCCCCCCTTTTTTTCTTTCAAAAGAGAGGGGGAAAGATTTTTGTAGTTTGGGGTTAGGGCGGTGGGGGCTGAGAAATTGAAATTACTTGTAGTCACCGGCAACGAGTCTATATGCCAAGTTTCAGCATGATAGGATGACGGAAAGTGGGTCATTTCGCCTTACACCGGAAGCGAAGTTCATATAAAGGATAAAAAAATAACACTCATTTCGTTTACCAGCTGCGTGTCATAGCTTTAGACAAGCTGAATTGTCGTATCTAATTCTGTAACAAAATTAGATTTAAATTAAGTGTTTTTATTACATTTTACTTACTTAATAAGTTTTTTTTTTAATGAATCATCTGAAATCCCCCAAGGCGTACTCTGTTTATTGATATTCCAGGCTTTAAAATTGATGTGTGTATAGTTTATAACTTCAGGTTAAATATACAACAAAAATTATAGACATGAATCAAATAAATGTTCACAATCAAAGGTTAAACAATGTTAGATTGCTTGGTGTTGAAGTATATTTGCAGGTTGGTAGATGGATTGCTTGGTGTTTAAGTACATTTGCAGGTTAATGTGTGGATTGCTTGGTGTTTAAGTATATTTGCAGGTTGGTAGATGGATTGCTTGGTGTTTAAGTAGATTTGCAGGTTGGTAGATGGATTGCTTGGTGTTTAAGTACATTTGCAGGTTAATATGGGGATTGTTTGGTGTTTAAGTATATTTACAGGTTGGTAGAGGGATTGCTTGGTGTTTAAGTACATTTGCAGGTTAATATGTGGATTGCTGGGTGTTTGAGTACATTTGCAGGTATATAAATCAAGTGTAAAGTATTTACTGGTCATTTGATTTCTAGGCATCACACTGTCATCTCTAAAACCTCCTAGTGGGTTGGCTGGGACAGGTTTGACTTGAAGACTCTGATCTTGAGGTTGTCTTTGACCTCTATTGAGGTCACTTCTGGGGATAAAATAATTTATTATGCTTAAATTAAGTCTTTAAATTACAACCACACACCATGCATAATTATTTTTTTACAAACTTATCAATGTGTCTCAATAGCTGAAAATGTCATCTAAACGAAATCGATACCCTTACATTTATCGTTATATAGGTGATATCAATCTGATTTCAGAAATGTAGTGCCAACATTCCATTGGTGCTATCAATTGTCTTCAGAAATGTTCTGTCAACAGTACATAGGTGCTATCAATTGTTTTCAGAAATGTTCTGTCAACAGTACATAGGTGCTATCAATTATTGTTCAGAAATGTGATGGTTCCCCAAAAAAGTCTATTTCATAAATGAATTATTAAAAATATTTTGTTATAAATTACAATCTCCACAACGTCACTTATAAATTCAGGATAAAGTCATGTCGCAAGTCAAGATAAAGTCATGTCTAGAGTAAGTATAACCTCAGAAGTCATAGAATATGGCCGTTGTTAAACAAAAATAAGGATAAAGTCAGAAATCATGTTCTTTGGCGTACGTAAATTAAAACGATCGAAGAACCATCCAACAGAGTAAACTAATATTTGACTTGAACAACTTCAATAAAAATATACCTTGGTCTAACTTGACCGACAATTTTTCCGCCTTTTCTTAAGAATTCTTCTCTTTCTGCTGGAGTAAGGGGAATTAGCCTGCCTGAAGGATCAACTCTGGAGATAAAATATTGATATAATTGAACCTTACAACCCTAGAGATGAACCATTTATATAATTGAATCTTACAACCCTTGAGATGAACTATTGATGTAATTGAATATTATTTCATTTAAACAAAACAATTCTTTAAACATTAATTAATGTAACGCTTCTATTTAAAAAAATAATAGATGATATCACTGGAACAAATCAAAGTCTCAAATTGTATTTGCACGTCTCTTACTTTCAAAGCAAAGAACTGCTGAAACACGTTCAACCATTTCTCCTGAAAGGAGGCACACAACACATAATCATATCCCCTGGCCTGGTCTCCACCCTCGCAAACGTTAATTTGGGGCTGAAAGCAATCCGTCAAACTAATTTTAGGTCCCCGTGTCATGCCTGGCTCACAGCCCTCCCACGTAGTATGGGCTACTCTTTGTACAATCGGTCAGACAACCCACCCACGTAGTATGGGCTACTCTTTGTACAATCGGTCAGACAACCCACCAGGTAGGTAGGTGTTTAGAAGATTTAATGGTGGAATATATAAAATAACCATTTCAATGCTATCCCACCCCTATGTTCACTTAAACCACTACCAGATGTTACGAAACACATCGTTCACTTAAACCACTACAAGATGTTACTAAACACATCGTTCACTTAAACCACTACCAGATGTTACTAAACACATTGTTCACTTAAACCACTACCAGATGTTACGTAACACATCGTTCACTTAAACCACTACCAGATGTTACTAAACACATCGTTCACTTAAACCACTACCAGATGTTACGAAACACATCGTTCACTTAAACCATTACCAGATGTTACGAAACACATCCACTCTCTTACCTGGCAAGTTGTAAATTAGAAGGCTGCCTCGAGCTTCCCGCAACTCGACTTCCGGTTAATCTGCTGTTTGCAAGAATACCAGGCTGCTGTTGCTGCTGCTGCTGCCCGGCTGTTGACTGACCTTGAAACCGCTCCTGTTGAGAACCGTCATCCTGTTGCTGTTGTCGCTGTCTTTGTTTCATTGCCTCTTCTCTCTGCAGTCGAAGCATATCTTCTCTTGATATTCTATGGATGTTTCATGAATAGTAGATTGATATTTTCACAGAACTATAGCATGATAATCAGGACCCCAATGAAATGTAGGTCCAACATGACAAGCAGGTCAAACATGGCAAGTGGGTCCAAAATGACAATCAATGAAAAGTTCTTGTTAGTTATAAATACGTTTCCCCATTACGAAAATCAAGGTCCCCATGTTATTACCAATGTTAAAAATAATTGCTAGTTAACAAATTATGGCTACAAAACAAGTTTCAAACTTTGCAAATATTCTGCTAAAATGTAACTTCGGTAAGAGAGAAAGTATGGTGACTAGGGGCGTAGGAAGTGGAGCACAGAGGCGGCGCGCCCCATCAGGCACGCAGTGGCATAAGAAGTGAAGCACAGGGGCTGTCTGTAAGGGGAGGCTATTCCATGGCATCGGAAGTGGAGCAAAGGGGTGGTCTTTCCTGGAAGGTTATTCTGTGGCCTAGGAAGTGAAGCACAGGGGTTGTCTGTCATGGGAGGTTATTATTTGGCTTAGGAAGTGGAGAACATGAGTAATCTGCCGTGGGATGTTATTGTGTGGCCTGGGAAGTGGAGCACAGGGTAATCTGTTCTGGAAGTTAAATCCGTGGTCTAGGAAGTGGAGCGCAGCGGTTGTCTTTCCGGGGAGGTTATTCTGTGGTCTGGGAAGTGGAGCACAGCGGGTGTCTTTCCGGGGAGGTTATTCTGTGGCCTGGGATGTGTGGCGCAGTTATCTGCGCCCCGGGATTTTTATTCATATTGAGGGTGCCATTTTCGGCCAACTGGTGAAATTTGATAGAGGAAGAAGGGCGGAAAAATATCGACACACGAACTGGTGTCCCTTCCGCTACTTACGCCACTGAATGGGAGTCAGTCAAAATGAACATGTTTGAGGTACAAATGTTTTATTTTAATAACTTGACACGTTCTACCATTCCGTAAGTCCAGTTTTCCCCGTAAATAAAAACTTAGTAAAAATAAACAATTCAAATATTTTACAGAGATAGAAACAATCTGAAAATACAATGGTGGAAAAGTGAAGGAACAATGAGGGTTAATTATAGGGAAATGGTGAGGTGAATGTTACGCGAAGATAATGGGGACATTCTCTGGTGTCTAGAATTCCCTAGTTTCTCTGATGGCTCGAATGTGCTAGATTCTTAATCAATGTAAAAAAAATGTAAGAAATATTTAAATTTCCTAACCGTAAAACCCGAGGACCTCTTCCAGTCTGCTGGGTCTGTGGAAATGCAAATCTCTGCCCTGATGTCAGCTGACCAGTTCTTTGGTCAGACGTTATGTAGGGTAGCTGGTCTGTTTGCCTTGTCCTAAACAGTTGAGATGACGTGGAACCTGTGCAGTGAAACATATGAAACAGTTGTGATGATGTTGACGTTAACATTGCAATACAGGAAACAGTTGTGATGATCTGGATGTTAACATTGCAATACAGGAAACAGTTGTGATGATCTGGATGTTAACATTGCAATACAGGAAACAGTTGTGATGATTTGGATGTTAACATTGCAATACAGGAAACAGTTGTGATGATGTGAAAGGTAGATGGCGAAACACGTTTTAAGTGTTAGAACAAATTATAAAATAATGTTCAAGTATAGCGGAATCTTAAACAGGAAACATTAAAATATGAACCTAACACTAAAATTAACCTTAGCCATAACCCTAACCCTAAACTTAGCCCTAACCCTAACCTTAGCCCTAACCCTAACCTTTGCCTTAATCCTAACCTTAGCCCTAACCTTAGCCCTAACCCTAACCTTAGCCCAAATCCTAACCTTTGCCCTAGCTTCAACGCTAACCTTAGCCCTAACCTAAACATCAAATACAATATTTAAAACAAACTTGTGTACCGTCATGTCCACGTTATTAAAGTCTGTTAGTGTTATTCATGTATTGAAGGAAAAATAAATTATGGAAATAACTAAATTACTGTGTTATTGGAAACTGACTTTTTAATAAAGGGAACTAAAAGGGAAAAAAATTATTATTGGAAAATACAAATGTCTCCTTTTGGAATTTTATGTCTGATCATTTTGAAGTAGATGCTAATTGACTATCCTGAAATATTCATGTTATAATGTTTGTTTAAAAAATTTCAGAGGGTTAATATTTTAAGTGTCAGGTCAGCAGCCATTTTGGAAACGTTGAATGCTTATAAGCTGATGGTGGGACGGGTTAGTTGTATCATGTTAGAGAGGAGAAAATAAAAATGATCTAAAACTATATGCTAGATAAGAGGCTAGCCCACGATCATAAAACTATATGCTAGATAAGAGGCTAGCCCACGATCATAAAATTATATGCTAGATAAAAAGCTAGTCAGCGATAACAAAAACTATAAGGAAGATAAGAGGCTAGTCAAAAAATTATAAAACTATACGCTAGATAAGAGCCCAGCCAAAGATAATAAAACTATATGCTAGATAAGAGGCTAGCTTACGATCATAAAACTATGCTAGATAAAAAGCTCACCAAAGATAACAAAAAAAACTATAAGTTAGATAAGAGGCTAGCCAAAAATCATTAAACTATATGCCAGATAAAATGCTAGCCAAAGATAATAAAATATCTTATTTTTATTGAAGGCAATGGAAATGACCATAACTATCTAAATATACGAACATTTTAATTTCTTTAAATTGTGTAAATTTCCAAGAATATTTTTAACAATTAATTTACAATTTAATCCTTTTTGATTATATTTTGTTTGGAATTTAAATTTAATCAGTGTTTACCTTTCCCGATGATTAAATCATAGATTACAAATCAAAATCTTGAAAACAGTTATACTGTAGGATTTTCTTAAGTCATTGATAGGTTTTTACTACTTTAAAACTCAATTAGTAGCTCCTCAAAACAGGCGAAATCTAATAAATGTTACAAACTATTTATAAATTCAAACTTTATAATGCAAGTTATGGAAAGCAATGTGCAACATTATAATAAATGATAACTAGCCCTCTAATTTTTTTTTTAGTTTTTAAGTTTGAACGTAAATAAAAGTTGATATGAAGATGTTGGGCGAAGAATGGTGGCTCAAAAATAGTGACCTGTACATGGTGAACAAAATGAGTTTGCTTCCTCTGGGAAATACAATTTTTAAGCAAGAAAAGATTGTGGAAATGTTTGTATGCATCATTCCAAATGACTGACAATATTATTTGTCTTATTTTGTGTCCATAAATGTATGACTGCGTCATTCAAATGTTAAGTCTAAGCAGGGCGTCTATAAGCAGGGCGTCTATAAGCAGGGCGTCTATAAGCAGGGCGTCTATAAGCAGGGCGTCTATAAGCAGGGCGTCTATAAGCAGGTAACCTTCGCCTTCCCAGGTAAGCTTCGGTCTCGTCAGCACTAAAGGAGCTTGCCTGACCTACCTGGCACCAGTCTGCCAATCACATTCTGGGGTGAAGAAAATGGAACCCTATTCGCTCCACTGAAAAGTAACCCTTGTCCAACTGTCCAGCACATGATTTGAAATGACATTATTTCCACATTTCAAGATATTAGATAAATAAATCTAAAAATTACGCTGGCAGTCTTACAAAGGTCTGTAACTTTTTTAACATTGTCTGTAAATGTTTTAAAATGGTCTTTAACTGTTTTATTATTGTTGTAACTGTTTAACATCGTCTGTAATTGTTTTAACATTGTAGCTGTTTTAACATTGTAACTGATTTAGCATAGTCTGTAGCTGTTTTAACATTGAATATAACTGTTTTAACATTGTCGATCAAACCATTTTAACATTGAATATAATTGTTTTAACATTGTAACTGAATTAACATTATAACTCTTTTAACATGTTCTGTAACTATTTTTACTCTGTAACTGTACATAAGATTACAATAATGATGTCAAGGGCAATGCTACGCCCAGCCACCTATTCTACTTTTCCTACCAGGACTCCGGGAGTCGACGTCAGGAAATCTTGCTCTCTGTCCCGTGAAATCCTGGCCTGAGACTGTAACCATGACAACCATGCCTAGTACACACGTCAGCTGGATGTTCTTGATTGCTCCCATGTTAGATCTGTAGAGTGGAACGGACAGCAGCTACATTATAACAAGTTATTATTGCAAGTGACACGGTTTGAGTTCACCCTATTCGACGCTAGAGTGCACTCTATTACAGGCTAGAATGCACCCTGTCAATGCTAGAGTGCACTCTATTACAGGCTAGAATGCACACTTTCAATGCTAGAGTGCACTCTATTAAAGGCTAGAATGCACCCTTTCAATGCTAGAGTGCACTCTATTACAGGCTAGTTATCTTTAAAATTCATTGTAAAAAAAAACTCGCGAAGGCACGTTCTTCGATATTTTTTCTCTAAATGTCATTTCTTAATGTCATATCTTAATGTCATATCTTAATGTCATATCTTAAGTCATATCTTAAAGTTATATCTTAATGTCATTCATGTCATTTTTGTTTTGGACACAAAACATTTTTTTAAAATAATGATTAACTATAGGTTTTTTTTTCTCCTCATTTTTTCTTCAAAAATTATATTTTATTGAACTTTTTAAAGTGTTGACCAGTGAATTGCGCACATGACCTACGCGAAAAAGACCTATAAGAACATGGCCTCTATGAACATGACCTCTATGAACATGACCTCTATGAACATGACCTCTATGAACATGACCTCTATGAACATGACCTCTATGAACATGACCTCTATGAACATGACCTCTATGAACATGACCTCTATGAACATGATCTCTATGAACATGACCTCTATGAACATGACCTCTATTAACAAGACCTCTATGAACATGACCTCTATGAACATGACCTCTATGAACATGACCTCTATGAACATGACCTCTATGAACATGACCTCTATGAACATGACCTCCATGAACATGACCTCTATGAACATGACTTCTATGAACATGACTTATATGAACATGACTTATATGAACATGACTTATATGGACATGACCTCTATGAACATGACTTATATGAACATGACTTATATGAACATGACTTATATGAACATGACTTATATGAACATGACTTATATGAACATGACTTATATGAACATGACTTATATGGACATGACCTCTATGAACATGACTTATATGAACATGACTTATATGAACATGACTTATATGAACATGACTTATATGGACATGACCTCTATGAACATGACTTATATGAACATGACTTATATGGACATGACCTCTATGAACATGACTTATATGAACATGACCTCTATGAACATGACTTATATTAACATGACCTATGCGCACACCATAATCAGGCACATAAAACTCTGCACATTCATAACTACTCACACACGAAAGTTGCGCACATAGACAAATGGTCTAACCCTAACGCTAACGCTAACCCTAACACAGTCATAACTACTCACACGAAAGTTGCGCACATAGACAAATGATCTAACCCTAACACAGTCATAACTACTCACACGAAAGTTGCGCACATAGACAAATGGTCTAATCCTAAAGCTAACCCTAACCCTAACACAGTCATATCTACTCACACGAAACTTGCGCACATAGCAAATGCGCTCACATTAAAGTTCCTACATAGACAATAGCGCCCACATAATATTTCCCCACATCGACAAATGTGTCCACCGAAAGTTTAGCACACTCAAACTTGTGCAAAACAAATACATTTGCACATAGGCAATGCGAACACAGACAATTGAAACATATTAATGGCTTATAGCTTTGTGGTGCTGTGGCCATATACCCTTGTGAGCTCTTGGCTCTATAGCATTATGACCACTTGGCTCTATGGCCTTGTGACGAAGTCTTGGCTCTACAACCTTGTGACTTCTTGACGCTATAGCCATGTGACGTCATGGCTTTATAGCTTTGTGAACTCATGGCTGTATAGCTTTTTGATGTCTCCGCTATATAGTATTGCTACCTTATTGCTCTGTAGCCTTGTGACGTCTTGGCTCTATAGCCTTGTGACGTCTTGGCTCTATAGCCTTGTGACGTCTTGGCCTTATAGCTTTGTGAACTCGTGGCTGTATAGCTTTTTGATGTCTCCGCTATATAGTATTGCTACTTTATGGCTCTTTAGCCTTGTGACATCTTGGCTCCTTAGCTTTGTGACGTCTTGGCGCTGTAATCTTGTGACTCTTGGCTCTATAGCCTTGTGAGTCATGGCTCTATAGTCTTGTCCAAACCATTTCCTTCTAGATGACTTATAGTTGCTTATCATCAGATGAAAAGTTAAAAAAAAAACAAGAAACTAAGGGAAATAAGTTGATCAAAAC